TCCCACAAGCCCCCTCCTCTCTAGTCTTCCCTAGGCTGCAGCCTGCTGCACTGGCTGGAAGGTGGGGGGTCTGTCTGCATGGTGTGTTGTAGGATCAAAGCGGGTGCCTGTGTGTTTGTGTGCTTTCATAGCCTGTTAGAAATGGTTTTAATGTGCTGGTAAGAACATACGTTTGGATAGAAAGTCAAGATATTGTGTAAGAACTCCCTCCATTCTCTTCAGTTTACTGAGCTAAAAAATAACACAAACTGGTAAAATATCCCAGGTTCCCTGTTGCACATCAGTCCTGTATAAATGGGAGCTTATTTATTGGTAACTTTGTATTTTTAAATCCTTGAGGTATATTGAGAAAACCTCATCTGTAACTTGTTTTAGTATGTATATAAAAGCCCACCCAATTACATGCCAAATGTAAAGGTGATTCAATTGGCAACCCAGTTATTTTACACTACGACTAGGAAAACAGAAGAGCTGCATTGTTGTGCAGCTACAGTATCTTTGCAAGAATCAGCATCAAGAGTCCAAAAACAATAATGTTACAAGAGGCTTTGACAGGAGTGTAGAAAAGCCTTAAGCGATGTGATTGCAACAGAAAGCTTCATGTAGCTTAGTAAGACTGAACATCCCACAGACACAGTGCCAGTGCACAGACACCCTCCCTCCCAGCCCCTATATCGGCACTGTCCCATCCCTCTGCCCAGCTGGCTGGCAGCTGTAAATCCACAGCTTTATTCCTCTTTCACGTCCTCCATACCCACGGAGCATTTCACTGTACAGTTACTGTGCCAAAGGTCACTCACTGCCTGCTGCTGCTTTCTCTCTCTCTCTCTCTCTCTCCCCCCTGCTACCCCTCACCGTGCTATTTGTCCGACCTGGTTCGAGCCGAGATCGCCCATAATCCAGCAGATCTGTCCAGACCACAGGGCTCTCTCTCTCTCTTTCTCCATGGGTCCTTACTCTATTTACACAATAAGCAGAGGCAGCCTGGTGAGGACATGAAGGCATGCATTCAAAAACATACACAAAGAAACAGACAATTACATGCAGACACACACATTCATGCACATACTGTTTAAAAAAAAAGGAGAGACAGAGCTGAATCTTTTTTAAAACTAATGCCACAGTTTACAAGTGGACTTTGACTCTGCAGCATTGCATCTGTCCACACTCCTGTCTGTCAAGGTTGACGAGTCAAGTTTGTTGATACAGTCTTACCACAAGCTTGCCACAGCAAAGACGGGCTTATACCAACAACAAAAACTTCAGAGAGCAAAACTAATCCCACAATTTATTAAACATTATCTCAACACACACTCCAAGAGTAAAATCGCTGCAGTAGCTGAACCTTAAACCATGAAATAACGCATTAATAAATGAAATGTTTAAGGTTCCCGGGGCATGGGAGTAGGTGCAGGACCTGCATTTAGCGCCCAGCAATTTATGACTGTACTTGCACACATTTAAAATCAGCGCACACCCTTTTGAGACCTTGTCCACCTTCTATGAATAAATCAATCCAGAAAATGCACTGCCGTCAATATCTGATGTCACCTCCGAAGGCCTGGACATGCAAGCTTTCCTTACAGGGACAGAAATATGTTCTCAGGAGATATTCTGGGAAAAGGCGAGATCCAGGAAGTCATTTCACTTAATTAATCACACATAAGTGTTTATTACAGGGCCTGCTGAGTCATCCTAAATGTCCATAATTAACTAAATAAGTATGTGTAAAACAATTCAACATAAGCTTGAAACTTCCAGAGCCTCCACCTACTTCAGAGAAAACTAAACAGGCTCATGTGTTCCTTCTTCTGCTCATGTCTAAAAATGCATGATAATGTACATGAAAATATAAAATATTCGAAAGTAAAATGTGAATGTAACTACACCTGATGATTTTGGTTCACATCATAATAATAAAAATGCTGTTGACCTGTGCAGGGTATACCTCACTGTCAGCTGGGAAAAGGCTCCAGCTCCTGTCACTACCCTGGAAGTTGTATAGATGATGGATGGATGAATGGATGGATCGTACAAATAACTAGCCATCTTTGAAATGCATCAGCTATCAGCTCCTGGGGACTGCTCCTTTGGGAGATAACAGGTCTGAAATAAAGGAAGGGGCCAGCACATGTCTGGCTTTACAACTTACTAAAAGAATTTTAAAATCGATCCTAAAACAAACAGGCACCCAGTTCAAGGACGCTAAAACAGAGGTGATATGGTTTCATTTTTTGAATTGTCAAAAGCTGTGTGGCAGCATTCTGGACTGACTGTAGACGGTGGATTGATTTCTGAGTAAGAACACTATAAAGTCTCTGGAATCCGAGCGGCACCAGCCTGCATCACGAGAACAGGTTGAGCTTTTGAGAGTGGCTCTTAATTCAAGTTGGGGTAAAGGGCTAACACAATGGTGTAATTACATAACACAAAGAAACCCCTTTCTGTCACTGGCCAACCGCGCAAGACTGGGCTCTTTCATCCAGCGAGGGAACATGGTGCCCAGAGGGGGAGCGAGCCGATGGAGTCTGCCCACCCCTTTCATAGACTCAGAACAAACACTTACTATTGCCTCTCTAGATTTGAGTGCATATATGTATAAAATGTGTGTGTTTGCATTTCTGCACCCAACGTTATCCTGTGTCCCTGTATGTACAAGATCGATAGAGCTCAGCGGGGTCAACTGCCCCAGCCCTAGACTGACCCGTCGACAATGTCTGGGGGTAAGCGATTTTGACCCTCGTATGCTCACCCCAGCAGACCCTTACACAACGGTGCCTTATGGGAACCTGACCCCTCCCCGCGCACACAGAATCCTATTTTCGGCTGTGACCCCGTAACCCTTAACCCCTGGGACTCGCCACTACTGTGGCAGTATAAGACCGCAAACATTCGAGCACACAAGTCCATTCCCCTGACTGCGTTCAATGCGTTTTCACAGGGTTCCTCGGAAAACAAACAACAACTCAGATTACATAAAGCAGGCAAGTGAGGCAACTGCAGGGCAAAGAGGGAACTCTGGCCCTACAGGAGAGATGTTACCTAATGTCTATTTGAACATGAGTACTTCAGGTATTAGTCGATCTCAAATAGAATTAAACTAGCCGTTTACAGTCTTTATGCTAAGCTATGCTAATTGGCTGTGGCTACATGTATATATTTAATGTTCACATCTGAGGCCCAGTTCAGACGCTGTATTAACATCTGTTTCGGGTGTTGCGATGACAAGTGGACGGCTCATATTACGTCACACCTGACATTAGAATGCATCTCCACACTTGTCCCTGGTGATCACTGGCTGGATCTCACTTCCTCGCTCTACATGCAAATAAACATATCAATTCTGTTTGCAGAAACCAAATGTTGTTTTTGCCAGTGCGACTTCACAGGTGGGTCTTTTGTCCAGGACACATTTGTGATCACACTGCTGAAAGAATATGGGACTTTTGTTGCCACATCCAGTGAAATACAGCATATTTCTTTCTTTTTAAAGTTTTTTGTGTTCACAGTTGATAAACACACACAGATATACAGTGCATGTGCACACTGAGGCACCGCACCAGTTCCCCTGCCAAATATTTGCAAGCCACGAGGGTATTATGGGACATTATTCTCACCAAGCAGGAGGCCTTCCTATTCCAGAGGAGGGGGGTTGCCATGAGGAAAGGACTGTCTGTGCTTTCAAAGATTTTGTCTTTAATCAGCGGATCTGCTGGAATTAGAGATCTGTCTGAGCCCGAGCCCCCACCCCTCTCTCTCCTGTAGCCCCTTACATCTCTGACAAAGTGAGAAACGTGTGTGTGTGTGTGTGTGTGTGTGTGTGTGTGTGTGTGTGTGTGTGTGTGTGTCCAAGTGCGTGTGTGTGTGTGAGTGTGTGTGCTGGGGAAGGGGGAGAGGTCTTCAACCGTGGAACCAGCACAGCATGAGCTGCTACATTGGGTTCATAAATGCTAACTTTGGCAAGCCCTCGGCAAATGCAGCTTAGCATAATTCGAAAAATACCAGACGGTGTGTACTGTGGTGCACCACTAAACCCGTAAAGCAGCTTTCTCCCTCTCCCATCTCCCCCGGTCCCTCTCCTCCATCTTCCAAAAAAACACTTCAGCACAAACAGGAATTCATGTCACTACACACCACACAGTATTTCCTCAGAAAAACACTATGACTATGGCCAGTAATAGCCACAGGGCTTTGTTTTTGTTTGTCATTAGAGGACTTATTAAGTGGGTGAGGCAAAAACCAGGATAAAACCCGTATTAGGTTCTCTACAGGTAAATTATGACACATTTAACTGAGACAACAACCATCAAAAACATTAACTGTATAAAAATGTAGATAAATTTGAAGTCCCCTCCACTTGTTACTGCTCTTGATTTAACAAAAACATGATCAGAGGATCAAATTCAGACCTGAATCTCAATTACAACCCACCACATCTGCTATAACAACATACAATGTAACATAACTGATTGCACTGGCATTGATTTCAGGATATAATGTTGGTTTGCATACTTTACATTCAATATATAAGTGTATTAAATTAGTATATTGCACATTTACACATTTATACACCTTCCAATTGACTGCAGGTAATTAAATGAGCAAATGTATGGTTTTTCTGTATGTATGTTCCAGCCATCGCTTTAGAGAGGTTAGTGCGACATAATCACTAAATAATTTACCAAAGCCTTCGTAGGATGTTATAAAAATGGAAATGGCCATTGATGGGAAAGGTTTCTGAGCACTAGCTGCTTTTTTTAAAAAATAATTCCATGTGTCATCGTGTCACTGAGTGTAATCAACTTGACTGGACATGCACTGCTCTAAGTGAGATTCTGACTCAACCACAATGTTTGCATTGCTGATGAAGAGGTGAAGAGAGGAGCAGATGTTAGCAGAACAACAAAATGCGTACTAGAATGACAGGAACTGTCACGGGCTGGTGCTGCTTATTGCAACACAGTACTAACCCCTCATTAGAGATCATGAGAATCTCCTACCTGGACAGCCCGTAGAAGCCGAATGCATCGCTCCCTGACGTCATCAAAGGGACACCGTTTGGAGAGCATGAGCAGATGAGCAAGGATGTCGTTCAGATCGCTGTTCGGGGGACTTGCCAAGCCCGGGGCCAAGGGTGCCAGTGCTGGTATGGGCCCAATAGCCTCCACTTTCCTCATGACCTCCAGGTGGATGTTCTCCATGGCTTCAGTCCTGGAGCTGGCATCCCGGCTCCCCAGGCCATCCCATCTCCCGAGATACTCTTGGTCCAGCACTTCCATCTTTTTGACGTCCGAACTAATGCTTGTGCTTGTTTTACAACAGGCTATACAACACATAACACGACACAGTCCAGGTTTAATCACAGCAGCACAGTATGTTCAACAAACAACCATTTGAGTTTATGTAAATGTGGATGGGTGTGTGGGACGCTATCAAAACATCTCTTGTAAGAAGATATTTGACTTTTGCAAATGTATATATGAGATTTATGTATAGGAATAAGAATAATGAAACTTTATTTATATGAATTTCTTATAAATGTCACGAGTGTTAAATAATTAAATAAAACCAGACTAGAAGAGAATAAATGAGAATGAATGAACAGAGAAATAATAACAATAAAATTAATCCGAATAAATAAATAATCACTCAAAATAAAAGCCCAATAGTTCAGTTATAAGGAGGGATTTAAAAGAGCACAGACACTTGACATAAATTCATTGGGTGGGAGGTCTAATAGCACAAGCCCTGTCACCCTTTGTCACAAGCTGTGACCTGGGTGCAAACAACAGGGCTCTGATCATGGAGCTCAGTGGTCAAAAGGACACATGTCAAAAATGCTATATATTTGCATATATATATATATATACAGACATTGCATATCTGATATATTATTGACAAGTCCACAGGCCTAAAAAATAAATAACCACTATCAGTCAGGCTCTATCATTACTGTGGGCATTTAAACCTACATTTATCCAACTGCTGAAATCAGGTCACCTGGACCTGGTTGAGTTTCTCGAAGAAAGTCCAGTTTTTAGCACTTGTATGTTCCAGGACCTGGATGACCGAGAATCTTCTCACACTTAAACCCACAATGCATCACATTTATATTTATGACCACAGGTTATTTGATTGATATTACCAGAATAATCTGTCAGTTCAAGTGTTCCTCTCGCAAACATCGTTGAACCAATGTGGCCTCGTGTTAATTGAAATATCAGACGAGTCATGACATCAAATGTTCAGGTCCCATTAGTGGGGTTCATTCAATCTGCCCCCTGCCCTCCCTCCCTCACCGCCTCTGGGTAACAGCCCGTTAAACAACAGACACCGGAGAGAAACAAGAGCAGGGTGAACAGTAAAAGGTTCCCACACGCGACACAAGCGACCAACACAGCGTGTCACAGTCAGAAACTCACTTTGTCCTCATTGTTCGGTGCAGGTCTTCAGCTCCGGGACGCTCCACAGCAGAGAACGCTCGAGCAGCCGCAGACACACAGCGACCCACTGCACGGTAAACATCTGACCGGCACGGCCGGCCGGCCAATCACAGCAGGCCCTGCGCGCTCCTGGGCGGTGCCGCTTTGCATCGGACAGGCGATTGGTCAGATGGGGAGTTGCCAGGCTCGCGGGGTGGAGGGATCATGGGAGTTGGATTCCATTCGCTCGGTGTGTGCGTTAAAGCTGCGATGCCTCAGAACTACATCTCCCGTCATGCCTTTCGTCAGTAGAAGCCGTCCTCCCTCTCTCTTGTTTATCAAGCAGGAGTGAGAAATGCACTGAGAGAGAGAGAGAGAGAGAGAAAGTGTTATGTATTTATTTATTCTATTTGACGTCATTCGTGTCATATCAACTAAACAAATACGAAATTAAAATGAATGACGATTAAACAACAGGAATTTCATTTTTAAAATTTTCTGATTGATGCAGAAATTGGATTCTAAAGTTCAGTATACTACAAGACTATTGGGGACAAAGGTGTGTGTTGCCACTGATAAAATAAAAAAAAGATATAAATCATAAAACTGCGATCGAAACATGTCATCATCTGGATTAGTGGTCAGGCCATGGAGCTGTTTGGCAAATGATGTGTTTTTTCTCAGTCGAATTTTACTAAATGTTGTGTGTATGTGTGTGTTTGGTTTGAGGGTTAACATTCTTTTGCTTGATGTAACTATATCCTCCTCATTTGTGTTTATATGACTTCCATGTCCCATTGGCCTTTGTCCATGTTTTCATTAGTCACACAGTTATGTGAAGGTAAATGCTAAAACAAGCTTCACTTATCAAATGCAGTCTTTCCTCAGAGTAACACACCTGCACACACCGCAGACATCTTCACCTTTTCCTTCTTATATCAATCGTGTAAATGTAAAAATGTGAGCTGGTGTCAGTATTTATTTCAATCTGCCCTGAGAAGTGAGGAGCGCTGGACCGAGGAGGAAGCAGTGCGCAGGCGGAACCACAGAGAGGAGGTCGTGACGAGGAGGGAAATTTAAAAAGTGCGGACTGCCGCTGACAGCACAAACTGACAACCGAGGGTTAGCGAGTCCGTTAGCGACAGAAAAACAATTCACAGCTCACACAAGCTGCCTGGAAACACAAGAGAAGAACACGTGGTTGGTCTGTAAACGAGTATGAACGCCTCGCCCTCAGAATGGAGACTTATATCGACCAGGTAACACTTGAATCAGCCTTTAGCCGCGACTGTGGCTAACACGTTAGCTGTGTTTACGTTGGTCAGCTAGCAGCAGTTCTTTGCTGCTGGTTTATCTCGAGCTGCTTTTCTCTTGGTTTCGTTACGTTCATCGAAGTTATCTTGCAAAAATGGAGGTGATTGTCTTTGAATCATACTCGTGTCACGTTATAAGTAAATAAGCATTTATTATACACCAATATAATACAGGCAATGGATGGATTGACCTGTTAATGTTGATGGTTTAAATGTACTGAACATGTCAGAGCTCTACACGATAGTTTTTCTTTGTTTTGTATTATTGTTGATTGAATGTCTATTTTAGAATTCATATATTTGGGACTCAGCCAAACAGAACATCTCACTTAAAGGTCACATCTTTTGGCGTTGACTATTTTGATGATATATGTTTTTTTTGCTAAAGCAAACACCTTCTTTCTGTAGATTTTAGACTCACCCTCCAAAAACAGTTACATTGGGAGCTATTACCAGCCTCCAGACAGGATAGTGCCTGTACCAAGACAGCTGGAGTTCTCTGCCCCCTCAGCCTTCAGCAGGGACCCACAGATCACCAGTCCGCAGGGGTCTCAGACCAACCCTAACATCGACAGCAAAGGTACAGTACAGCCACTATTGTTAGGTAATGGTTTTTGTTATGCCCACGTTATGTTCCAGTTACCTGATATGCTCTTCCCATCTTTAAATTCTCTCCAGCTGTTGTTGATGCACTGAAAACCCTCCAGGAGAAAATTCGGCGATTGGAGCTTGAGAGGAAAGATGCAGAGAAGAGCTACCAGCAGTTCTCCCATGATATTCAAAAGCAGCAGCAGCAGGATAAAGCATCTTACACCACGTCCAATCAAGGAGCAGCTGGTCTGCCTGAGACCAATAACTCTGGCAGGCGAGGTAAGAAATAAAGGAAGCAAAGTGAAAGCTCTCTGCTTTACTGGAGTCTCGCAATGTTTTCTCTTTGTGCTGGATGTTTTGTAATAGTTGTCTCTGTGTTTATGGTACCAGAGCTGGACTCAAAACTGCAGTCTGCAGAGGCTCGCTGTAAGAGTCTTGAGAAGCAGCTGGACTACATGAGGAAGATGGTGGAAAAGGCTAAGAAAGAGAGGAATGTTGTCATAGAGAATCAGGTAGTTCAAAAAGTGAACTGACAGAAACAAAATTCATTGAGAAAGCTAACCTTAAAAGTAGATCCTACCTATGAGACTGTCATAAGCTGGATATGATGATACATTGTAGCATTTCTTGATGTTTATCTCCCCATCAGGCTTCACTGCAGAACGAGCAGCCGAGCAGCTCAAACACCCAAACTCAGCAGGAGAAGCTGGAGAAACTCGAATCTGAGTATCTCAAATTGAGTAGAACCCAAACAGTGGCAGAGGTAATTCACGGTTTTCAATTTAACACTTTAAACTTGATTCATCACAAGCTGAATGATATGATGCAATTCTGCTTCCAGATGAAACTTGCCATTCTGGAGCAAAGACTACTGAAAGAAGAGCAGGAGCGTAAACTTGTGCAGGAGAAAGCGGACGAGGTCGGTCACAGCAAAGCAAGAATCCACATTTTCACTTTTTTTTTAAATTTTTCCTTACCCCAACATGCCCACACTGTATTCTACACTGAATCAGGAAAATAAGCTAATTTTTAAATCTACTTGTATTTTATTGTCTTTCTATCAAATTTACACAACCTTCTCTTTTGGTTATTTAAGTTACATAAAACATGTTTTCAAGTCACATGATGGTCAAATGTCAACAAAGAATCTTAATCTGTTTATTATTTCCATGACCGTAGCTGCAGAGGGAACTAAACTTCAGCCTTCAATTGTCTGTGCCAACTAATGAAGAGATTAAGCCAAAGAAAAGGACCAAAAAGACCATCAAGGTGCTTTTCATACTGATAAAGACGATTAACTTCCTGTATGTAGTTGATTAGAAACTTTTATTTTTAATCAAATAGTGATGCCAGCTTTCCTCTCCGTCAGAAAACCCCTAAACAGAATGAGCTGTCATCACCAAGTGGCCTAATCCGCAAAAAAATGCCCTTTGTTGCAGGAACAGTAAGTCAGTTCTGATGCTCTGCGCTTACTCTAAAAGACGTAATTTATTCGCTGTTTTTGATTGTTCCCTTCCTGTCACAGTCAATTAGCCCGAGCCATTCTGTCCACGCCAATGTGCAGAGTATCCTCCACATGATGAAGCACCACCAGCCCCAGCTGTGTGAGCGAGTTAGTGCTCTGCAAAGGTCCAGCTGTGGAGCCAAGAAAAGCCTCCAAAAGGACTTTGCTTCATCTTCCGACAGCCTGTCTGAGCAAACAGATCAGTCACTTGGCTCACTGTCAGACCTGCTGTTGGCTCTGCAGGACGAGCTAGGACAGATGAGCTTGTGAGTAAGCCTTTTTTTTTTGTCATTGTTGTGTTTAACTTTTCTTTGCACATTTAACAATCTGTCGATAATTGGTTTCGTTCTTCTGTCAGTGAGCATCAGGATTTGGTGCGTCAGATCGACAACACCCGAAATCGGGAGCAAAGGCAGGAACTGCAGAGCGAACTGGAGAGGCTGGTGGCCAGGATGGATGAGAAGGGAGTCCAGATCACGAAGCTCCGCAAACACCAGCAGACAGTAAGTTACACACCACTCAGTTCAACACAGAGGTTTGATTGTAAAGATGGTCAGAGGAATTATTTCTTGTCTCATAAGTGAACTGAGTAAAATGTATTACGCCAACAGGAATAAAAGCCTGTGACTTTATTCTCATTGTGGCGATGGCTTTAAGTGAAGTCTTTTGTCTCTGCTTCTTCTCAGGTGCACAAATTGACCCAGAGTCAGTCACATGCTGAGGAATACGCGGCCAAGAAGTCGCCACCTGCTCCTTCTCTTGTTAAGGCTAAACAAAAGAGAAAGAAAGGTGGGGCCAATAACAACAACCTGCAGCTTCTCCGAGACACCCAGAAATTCAGGAGCCGCCTCAAACAAGACGACCTCTCCTGGGAAACGTGAGATTCTCTGCAAGACTGTTCTGTGTGCAGGCTTTGATCCTACAGCTGGACGAACAACACATGCCCCCTTTGGTTCTTTTGGGTTTGTTTTCCTCCTTTGTTCAAATGAAACAAACGAAAGGAGTAGGAATAAACACTTTTACACAGGTAATGATAATGTGTTGATCATAAAACAACACACACAATAAGCATTTGATTCAAAAGACACCTTGCACATACGGCGTCCTGCATAAGTAGAGGTAGTTAATCATCGTGACTTTCACCGATTAAATAATGATGAAGTTTATCTTGTCTCAAATGAAGCTGGGTTAATCTATTTTAATGATTTAGATTTTTAATAAAGTTTATACTCTTTTACATAATGTCAAAACATTTTTTTTCACATTTTTCTGCCAAACAAAACAGTTTTTCCTGAATTCTGCACAATTGTGACTTCACACTAAGAACCACTAGATGGCAGTGCTTGATCTATGTAAAGGTTTATCCCTGACTCAACATACAGATGCATGGCCAATGGTAAAATATACATTTATAATAGTATATATGCAGCATCAGACTCCTTCTGTTTTGAATAGCCTAGAAAAGAGCGAGAGCTGTGTGAACTCTGTTGAGCAGCTGGCCGGACAGCTGAGTAAATGTAGCTCTAACCTCAGGACAAAGGGTTGTGGTTTGCATCGCTGTGCAGAAGTGGGAGGGACGGCCGATTGCCACAGGATTTTGCCATTTCACAGCCAAAGCAAGCGCGATACACTCAAACCCAACTATGATAGCCATCTGCTGTAATTGTAGGCCGGTCAGATGACGGGACACATTCCTGGCATGGACAAGGCTTTTAGATTTGCCCTCTGTGCATTTGAGTCAGCCTCTTTTTATGGGATTATATTTATAACCACACGTGAAGCTGCCTCATTGTTCCTCACTATCAGGCCTCAGTTAACAGTTGTATTGCATCATCTCTTACAGTTTTGACCATACATCTTATCTCAGTGACTCCCTATGCCACAAACAACTGCACAGCCAACTCTACAAGGGTTACTCAGTCACACATTGTTCTTCTAAAATGCTTAAATTGAAACAGTGGATTTTGTTTACTTTCCTGTCCAAGGTTTCTGGGTCATGGGAGAAGAAAACAGCTGATTGTTATTGTCTCTCTGTCCATTCAGCCCTTTTTCCATTTCATTATCTAGCCAACATTGCTTGGTTCTGGTATTCTTGGCATGATCTAGAGTTCACTGGGTGGTTACATGGGCTGAACTGGTGCATGAGAGAGAGACTCTCAACCTAATGCAATTTTTCTCTGTGCATATATATTAGATTACAGAGCATGACTGGACACAACAATCAGGTTAGCTGAGGCAAAGTCAAAAATCTTCCATGCCCACATATACAACACCTCCAGCCCCTCCTGCTCTCTTGCTCTCCTGACCATGCAACTCTGATACCTTGTGACTACACACCCTCCTGTTGTCTGGTGCTGCTGAGTGTGTGTCAAGCATTTTGCTGTGGATGTGTGAGAGGATTGTCTCTAAAGCTCCTCTTCCATTACCTTATATAGATAAAGAATTGTCTACAGTGTAACATGGGTCTTTTTTAAAGATTTGTCAAGTTTAATAGGAGGGAAAAAAATGTAAGTTTGCAAAAGGCTGTAAGAGATAGTATACGGACCAACGGCCAAGTTACAGATTGTTTTTAATGGACACACAAGAGAGAATTCATGGAGCGGTCGTCCAAAAAACATTATCTCCTGAAACTCTCTGGTTCTGGGAAATTGAGCCAGCTGGGGACTCCAGGCTGCTGGAAGAAAAACAATCTGTTCAGCACAAACACACTGAACGTACTGTCCACACTCTCACACACACACACACACACACACACACACACACACACACACACACACACACACACACACACACACAGTTCAAGAATGTGTTCATCCGTACACACTGTGACACACACACACAAGCAATACACACACTCGGTAACATTTCCTTTAGAGATTTTGCTACATAAGCAGAACCTCGCTGCATGTGACCCTGGAAACTGACCATGTGTCCTGTCAGGAACAAACCAGTGAACACTCAAGAGAGTGGAAAAACAACGGCTGGGGTCTTCAGTTTCAGATCCCAGTGAACAGTTTGAATATAAATGAACAGAAACGGTGTGCAGTGTCAAGGCTGTGATACACTTTGCACCTGTTAACTTTCATCCAGTAAATATGGAGGTTGTGTCATTTACTAACTGTGCAGGGAAGTGAGCACCAGTTCAAGAGATTTTCAAACAAATAAACTTTTAACAGGGTCACTTAGACTTCTGTAAAAGCTGTGACTACATACTGTAAATGACTCTGCGGCCAACAGTATACGTATCGGCCAAAGGGGGGCACTAGTGTCTCCATAAACTACACTGTATTAACAGGTGGAGCGTGGTCCTCAATTTGTTTTAGCTTGTGAGGCCTCAAAATGAAGCAGTGTCTATTGGTAACCTAACAACATATATTATGGCCTTATGGGGATGAGCTGTGAGTGGTTCCCTCTTGGATTGGTTAATTTAAGGGCTGAAAAATAGGTACAATACATCAAACTTATCAAGAATTTCTAATACAGGATGCAAAATATGTTATTTTGATCATTACAAACTTATGAGACTGTAAGTTGGACAAGATATTTAAAGGTTTCGCTTTGACCTCTGGGTGATTGTGACTTTTTCTCAGTTTCCTTGTTTTAAAAACCAAACCTTTAATAATTGATGAAGAAAATCAGCAGATTGATCCATAATCCAAACAATTGCCTGCAGCCCTGAACAAAAAATTGCTCAACCAACTACAACGATAACTCCTGACACATCAATACATGAGTAATGATAATCTAATGATAGTGTTTAAAATAGTGGAACAGTTACTGGGGCCATTCCTTTTTTATTGAATACATTTGCAGTGGTCTGATTAGGTGAGCATAAACATCCAGTCTGATTCTGTGCAAAGGCATCAAAATATAAAGATTTTATATATATATATATATATATATATATTGCTAGTTTAAGATGTTGTAGGTAAGAAGTGATGGATTTTGGGATATATGTCTATACGAGTATGAAATGTATCTTTTAACAGGACACCCAGTTGACCTAACTACAAACAGAGCAAGACAAAGCAAAGCCTGAACTTGATACCTTCTGTTGTCCGGGCAACTAGATGTTCAATTGTAACCATGGGGATGGAGCCTTTCCGCAGAGCCCCGGCTGTTTGTCCCACTTGTGATTTGTCATGTAAATTACCAGCTCCTGGAAAGTTGACACTGCTTAAATAAAGAGGTGAATGCAGTCATTTGTTTAACAATATTCAAACTTTATTGATTCAACATTGTGAAACTAAAGGCAACACTAGAAAACAAGGCAAAAAAAAAAAACCGAAAGGTGTTTTTGAGGTGGAAATAAAAAAGCGAAAATAAGGGCACAGAATAGGCACAAAACAATTTGGCGGCACCTGCGAGTGTCTACTTATTGATGTGTGTGTGTTAAAGTGGCTTTGGAGCAAAGCAGAAAATTCGTACCTACAAGACTGATGGCCTATTTAAAAAAAAACACATGGCACTACATAACAATGAAAGCCACAAAAGCAAAAGGAGGGAATCAAAAAAGCTTTTTACTCATCGCTCTTGAAAGTGAACACTGCGAGACTGAAAACCAATACGAGAGCCCTCCATGACCAAGAAGAATTTTTATTTAAAAAAGGAGGAAAAAAAACAAGCCATTCAATGTGATAATTGAAAGTTACATCCAGAGTGGAGTTCAAGTTATTATGTGATAGTTTGCATTATGAAGGAAGATGTTGCAGCAAAGAACACCAGAGGTCTGGAGCTGGGATCAATGAGCGAGTGACGAGTTGTCGAGGACGCAACCAGGCCACATCTGGCAGGAAATCTTTTTGCCAAACAATAGCCGATCACGTCAATTTGATATTATATATATATCTTTTATGCTTTGGGTCAAAACATAGCAAAGTTTCAGAGTACATCCAACAAATCTTCAGTTTTCAACCTGATAACTTCCCAGACAGCTCGTCACTGAGTGAATGCTCAGTGGATCTGATCAAGGACTTAAGGCAAGACGAGAGTGACAAGACATAATTAAGCAGAATACGACACAGAAAACCACTTCACAGGGGTCTGAAAGTGCTGAGTCCCATTGGTATTTAATAGGTGTGGCATAATCACCTTCCAACTACAACTACACTGTTTATGGATATCAACTGAATAAGGCACTTTTCCTTAAGAGGTGCAAGGATTGAGTGACTTGTAGGAGGAAGCTGCACAGAAGCAGCACAATGGACGTCTATTGGTATCCATGGATAACAAACGTGTTTTGAAACACCACAATAATGTCAACATGTGATGTGACGCTGAGGAATGCAGCTACCATGTCGAAAGCAAAGAGCACTGTGACTGGAGTTAGTGGTCACTCAATGGCTTTGTTTAACTCAAACATCAAGTTTGGGGGACGAGGGGGACTCCTCATGCAGGGGGGTGAAAAAAAGAAAAATGGGTGCAGCTAAGGCAAAACTTTGTAGCCTGCTCTTCTCATACAAGGGTCTTTGGGCTGTAGCCTAAATGCCACTAGGTGAGTGTAGGTTAAAAGGCGTGTCGATGGTGAGCAGCAGAAAACATGTAACCCTACATGATGCGAGCCAAAACAAACAGGAAAACAAATCTGCTCTCATTAATTTAGAATTCCTCGTGATTATACAAAACTAGGTGAATATTCATCCATTATCTAGTGAATATTCAAGAAGAGTATTTATACAAGCAACCGATTCTTTTTTTATATTTTGGTTGAACCACGGAAAACATTTCCAAAGACAACGTTACAAAACAAAGCTTGTCAGTCCAATGTTTAAACTCCACCATGCCAAAACTGAGGACTTTGGCTTAATGCACACTGTTTCAAGGCATTCTTTCGACTAGCATATGGGCAAATCACAAATAATCAGAGTGGTTTTTAAAGTGTGTCCAACCCCTTGAGAATAAAATCACAACTCCAAGCATTCAGCATGCAATAATGAAACAAAAATATTCTTGACGAGCTTCTACAAGCAAAACTGTTCCGAGCAATGCTCCTTCATGTAGCCTTTTCCTTACGGTGAAACCTAGGAAATAAACATTAGCAGGATGTAGCTATGTACAAGAGAGACAACAAGAAAAAAAACATCACACTAGCTAATCAGCGACGTCGACATGAGCCTGGCCGCTTAGTTGTTGCAATTTTGCACTCCATCAGAATTCTTCTCACTTGCCTGGCAAAGTCAGGAATCAAGAGGTGCAACGCTCATTGGACCGAACCACGGTCCGACACTTTGACCTCGACTCAAGTTTTTAAATTAAGCCCAGTACATTTAAAAAAAGGTGCACTCAAGGATTCACAGCACCTAACAGCATCTTGAAATATCCTCACCGTCTCCTGTTTTTACATTTAACACAATTTACATTGAGTCCTGGAGCATGAACAGTGAGATGGGAGGATGTTTGGATGCAGCGTTAGGAGCTAAGAACCAGAGAGTACCTTTAAATCTAATTATCATCTACTTTAACAAGGTCACAGTCAGTGAGAAGAAGACCATGCACTGAGCAGAGTCTTCTACTTATAGGGAAAATCTTCAATCTCGGCTGATCGAGGCCCTCGAGTGACAACTACCTAACACTTCGACAGTAAAAGGCTCTTCAGTCCAGCTGGGATACTTCGGACTGAAGAGCCTTCCCAAACAAACTCATGACAACACTCGGGGGCCTCGACCAGGAAGACGAGTCCTCCATTTACGTCAAACTGGACATTAAAGGCACTTCACTGCTCATCACTGTCCACATCAAGAAAGGTGCACGCCATTTTCTTCAAGCCCCTCCACTCTATATTAAACAATTAATAACACTTCTGAAATATTCTACAATCGTTCATTTTCACCCTTTTCAGGGTACTCCGCAGAAAGCAAGGGGCAGCTCCACGTGGGTAAGGTTTGATGCCAGTAAAGATCAGAAGGGGGATCAATGGCTGGGGAATGAACTCAATACATAATTTATTGCATTGTGCCGCTCCATTGGCAGTAAGTGACATTTTAACAACTCTTATTGGGTCAGAGATTTCCACTGGGAATTCAACTGCAGAAAACGCACTGCACTCCTAAATGCTAAGGGAGATGTCCATGGAAATAAGACTGTTTACTAGAGGGATCGCCGTTGTTCCTGATGATTGGGTGTTGCTTTTAATTCCCTCTTCAAGTAACCCCACCTCTTTTACATCATTTATGAACACATATACAGGATATAGCTG